AGTGATAGCTAAGTAAATCAAGCATCCTACCAATCGCCGATACTTTTCAGGATCAGAGAAAATGATCCCTCGGCAAGGGGACGCTAATGATTTTGCTCTATAGAAAAGTCGGTCGGCTTGCCACTATGTAAGCATGTCTCAGCAATAATGTCAAGGGTATATTTCCGCTGACACAGTAATATGCCAGAGGAATTTCGAGCGACCTCAATACCCAAAAAAATACTTGAACGTACCCAAATCATTCATATGAATACAGCGGCCCAAGTACTCTTTGAAGGCAATAATAGAAGAAGGATCACTCCCATAAATAATGAGATCATCAACATAACCCAGAACATGCACACAAATAGAGTTAAGATGAAACCTAAACAAGGAGTAATCAGAAAAAGACTGCTGAAAACTATATTGCTTGAGAGCAGTAGCAAGCTTTGCAAACCTACAACGAGGACCTTGTTTCAAGCCATGAGCGACATAGCCTGCATACCTTACCAATCCGAGGAGAGTAAAAACCAGAAGGGAGTTCCATATAAACTTCATCAGTCAATTCACCGTGCAAAAAGTCATTGTAAACATCCATCTGATGTATCTCCTAATTTTGTGTCGCCGCAACGACAAAGAACGTATGGAACGTGACCATCTTAGCGACTGGAGAAAAAGTCTCTTGATAGACAATCCCTCCCCCCCAACACCTGCTTATTACCCAAAACAACCAAGGGCGCCTTATAGCGCTCAACAGTCCATCAGAATAATATTTCATATTATAAATTTACTTACAACCAATCGCATGCCTGCAGGCATGAAGAGGCACAATATCCCAGCCCAGGTTATTCTTCTCCAAAGCTCAAATCTCAAGTTGCATGGTATATGCAGAATGAGAGTGTGTTTGGTGTATCATGTATGTGTTAGAAATTACGAAGTGGTATATGCATAATGAGAGTGAAATATATATAAAAAAATGACGCAATTCACGCGAACCTTTTAAGTTTTATTACGCTAATTGTTTTATATAATAGCTGAAATTATCACCCCTTTAAACAACAATTTATCAAAATATAGCTCAACAATTTTGCATGATAGTTGCATTTTATTTATTTATTTATTTATTCTTAATTACACACTACTAGAATTTAGTGCATTAGTAATGAACTTTTGCAACGGATTAATATTGGTGCCATAATTACGGTATTAGTAACATAATTTTGCAATGGATTTAAATTGGTGCCATGGTTATGAGTTTTTGCAACGAAATGTAATTTGGTTTTATAATGAAAACACATTTCCTTTATTTAGCTGACTAGATTAAATTCAAATAAAAAATAATAAGTAATTGTTGAAATTAAATGTTCATAATAAGATTATATTGAAATTTGATTTTCAATTAAGAGATTCATTATTATGGTTAATGTCGAAATGATTGTCATATATACTACTTTTGAATAATAAATAGATTGAAAAAGTGGCTGACGATATTGCAGAGATAAAGCGGCAAGCCAAGGATGAAATTGCTGAAATTAAAAACGGAATGAAACGTCGGGCAAGAAATAACCATCGAGAATTAAGTCGAGAGTTAAGTGAAATGATCCGCAGCATGCTTCGACAACTTAATCTCCTAACTCGAAATTTCCTTCAAAGTCGAGAGCGAAATAGTGTTTCTTTCCTACTGTTATGGTAATCATACGAACTTGAAATAAAAATCATCGTCTACGAAATGACGGTAGTCTGGTCACTATATAAATATTTTTATATATATTATGTATCAGTCGATTTTCAAAGTAGACTAACATTGTAAATTTGTGTTACAACTTACAAGTTAATTTGCGCAGAACTAGCAACGTTTTATTTACCCATATATATTTTTTGAGATGAATATTGAAATATATTTTAACAATTATATTCGATTGTTCAACTTTAGGCTCCTTTTTTAATATGATTTTGAAAAGAATAAATAAATAAAGTAGAAGTGCCAACCTGCCCACATGATTCGAAATTTGGAGAGAAATAAGCATTTATCTTTTCAATAGTCTTACTCAAAATAAAAAGGAAAAAAATTCAATAATTGATACATAGTAGGTCATTTCTACACCATCCAATGTTTACATAATAGTCGTATTTATATATGGGTAAATTGCGTCAAACCCTCCTGTATTATACGAAATCTGCGTCTTATCCCTCTGTATTTTAAAAAATGCGTCATACCCCCTTGTATTATACTTTTGATTGCGTGTTATCCTCTAAAAATGCGTCATATCCCCTTGTATTATACGAGGAGAGGGGAGCGTGCGCAATCAAAAGTATAATACAAGGGGGTATGACGCATTTTTTAAAATACAGGGAGATAAGGCGCAGATTTCGTATAATACAGGGGGGTTTGGCGCAATTTACCCATTTATATATGGTTATTGAAGATTGCTGCTGTTAAATTATACGAGTCTTGATTTAACTCAATTCGTTAAGGTTTGAGTTCGAGGTCTTAACGAGACGATCTCGAGCTTTATGATTGCTGCTGTTAAATTATACGAGTCTTGATTTAACTCAGTTCGTTAAGGTTTGAGTTCGAGGTCTTAACGAGACGATTTCGAGCTTATTTAAAGCTCGTTTGGCTAACGAGCTAAGCTCGGCTCGGTTCGAAAATATAATTTTTATATAATTTTGTGTAGTTCAGCTCGTTAAAACTCGAGATCGGCTCGTTAAAGCTTAAAAAGAGAATTTTTATCTAATTTTTTATAATTCGACTCGTTAAATTTTGAGATCGGCCGTTAAGGCTTGAGCCCGATAATAGACTCGTCTCGGCTCATTTACAACCCTATTGAAGATTAATGATTTATGAATTATGATGCCCTCTGAGTTACACAACTTTAAGCGCAAGCTTTGCTAAAAAATATTGATTATAATTTTCTTGTTTTTGTTCAGTGGTTGCGACTCGGCTTCAACTAATTTTCATGCCAACAGTTCTCCAGCTGTTGAATCAGTTGTATTAACTAATTAAGAAATGCTTAAAAAATGACCACCTAACTTAATTAAAGAGAGTTGAGTGATATATATATTATATATATATATTATTATATATATAATAATAATAATAATAATAATAAAACACAAACAGTACTTTTGTTGCATTATATATTGAGCTGTTGTACCATAATCCCTAAAGAAATGCATATGTAAAGGTTTGGTTCATATATGCATGCATATATAATCATTGTGAAAAATTTGAAAAGACAACATAGAATATATATATCTAACAACATATATATTACATAAATTTGATATGTGTAGAAGAGTTTTATACAAAAATTAGGGGAAGCCCGCATAGTTCCGGATATCGTAACTGACTATAAAAAAAAATGTTTTAACTTTCAAGTAATCTATCATATTTTTTTTTTCTTTTGTTTATCATTTCTGATTATCAGTTTTTCAAAAGAATGAAGTAAATTATAAGCTATTATTATTGCATATTATTTTTTCCACAAAACATTCACATAGTTTTAAACTTTGACATTTACCAAACCTAATCAATCAAATCTAAGAATTTGATTATAGTTTTTAGTGTTTTTAAAGATTTATCGTTTACTCCATCTCAAGTCAAACTTCGAAATACCTTCTAGCTGGTAGATGATAAGCCAAATCACAATCCCTTATATAAAAACAACACATAATATATCATTCTTAAATTGTTTTATTTAATCTATGTCTACAAAATACACATAATTATATTTATG